GCGCTTGCTGCTGTAATAAAACTATTTCAATGTGGATCATTAAAGTTTATCAAAGTCTAAACAACAATGTTAGACACTAAACTATTTTTTTTAAGTTAATCTGCATTATTTAATTATCATGTGTAGAATTTAAATTTCACTTTTTTCTGTTGTAGTCGAATTTTCTAATACTTGTTTTTATTTCTGTGAAGCATCATACAAAAAACAAATGCTGTTCTCATGTTATTTAGTTTTCTTTCTCAGCAACATTTGGCCAAAGAATTTTCTGAGGTTTGTTTTTAATCTTATTCGATAAGAACCAGACATACTTTTACTTGTACAGCTGATAGACTTCTGTGTATTTGCGCTGTTTTTTGCTGGACAATGCTATGACTATAATTTCTGATGCACCTTAAACTATTTTTTTCTGGACCTTTGAACAAACCACCTGATGCGTGAGGCTAAGTTTTACAGGAACTCACTCTTCGGCTGCTTCTGGAGCGGCCGAGGCAGCAGCTCCGGCGCTCTCCCCGGGAGGAGGCTGCAGTGTCGGGACGGCGTTCGAGGATTTGGCCGGAGTCGATGTCGGAGACACGTTGTTCGTTGGAGAACCCTAAAAGAAGGAAGAAGAACATCTGTCTGGTGACGCATCGGAGCGGGAGAGCTCAGCGTGCATGAAAGACCGGTTTAAATGTGCATCCTACCTTTGTTGGAGATCTGGAAGAGGAAGAAGAGGGACAATCGTAAGCAATCAGCTCGATAAAAGCAGCTCTGCTTCACACAGACTGAGTTTGATGGGTTGTTTTACGGGTCTAACAAAGACTGCATCACATGTGATCATATGAAGAGCTCATCTCCAAACTTTGTGTTGCAAAAAAAGAACAAATCCGAAGCATCTGATTGGTCAAAATAGTCAAATTTGTGCACCAATAATCAATTTAACTTGGAGCTGAACCCTTCATATCGTGATTTACATCAGGATGTGACAGAACACAGACTTCCTGTTTGACCAGAACATGTGTCGCTCACACATGTCGTCACGGCGACGCACACATTTCCACACGTGAACGTCTCTGATTTGTAGTTCACGTGTGGATGACGTGTGCGTTCGCCTGAGGGTGGGGTGGAGGTGACGCTAAATACAGAGTCTCCTACGACGTCAGTGAACTCAGACACAGGACATATGCTCACCCTTCACTGGAGTTTCCAAATCAACATAAGAGGGAATAAAAGAGAGGAAGGGGTTAAATGAAAGTAGAGATAAAACACCTGCTCACAGCTGTTTCTGACAACATTTCTTTACTTTTCAAGGACTCGTGAGAATTAAAAAGAAAAAAGGAGATTGTCAGATTTCAGCCTCTTTGATTCTAAAAGCGTTTTCTTACCCCTTCTTTCCTCCTTTTACGTCCTCCAGGCCGTTCATGTGTGTTTCCAGGGACTCCAGGATACTGCTGGGAGCCTGACGAGGAAATCAAACCCGCAGTCATCAACCAAACAATCACACAAAGTCCGAAGAATCGGTTTCTCTGCTTCAAACTGCCAGACAGAAACGGAGCGTCAGAGTTTTGGAAAACCTCACTGCAACACCCGCATGCAGGTACGAACGCACAGAAATGACTTTTCCGACGCGTTTGTCGGATTAAATTAGGGCCAACATGCCGACACTCCATCCTGCAAACAGGCACTCAGCCGGGGCACCCTTTGTTTCTGTGGTTACCGGGTCCTCGAGGGGTTTAAAGGGACAGTCTTCGTCGTCCGAGTCTGCTAAATCCATCACTACCCCCGGGTGGAGACACTGAGTGGGTGAGACATGAGGTTTTGAGGTGTCTGGGTGGGTTTTGGTGGGATGGATAGAGTTCCTCATCCTTTCTAGGAACTAACAGTGATACGAAACATGAGAGCGGTGATGTGTGACTTACGTAGTTGATGTCAGGAATGTCGTTTTTGTCAACTCCGACCGTCTGTTCAAGGGAAGAAACGATAAAACCAGCATTACCAGACGGCACAGGTTCAGAACGGATCAGTCATTACGTACAAGTGTGATCAAAAAATTCCAGGACTGCTGCACGAGAGCATCCCATCCCCAAACCTACGAGTCTTGAGACCACATGACGACGCTTTTTCACCATCTGGATCTGCTGTTTTGAATGTTTTGTTTGGCTTCAGGTTTCACAAAGACCCTCAGACAACACCAGAGGTTGTTATTTCGATCACATGAGAGCAGCTAAATTCCAAGACAACAGTTTAACAGTGGAAGAGCTGCAGTCTATATCAGGTCTCTGTTTTCTTCAATGTCCACCTGGTTGTGCATCATGAATTCCTCCTCCAGGGTTGGAGAGTTTTCGTGTGACGTTCTGCAGCGTTTGAGGCCGAACATTGGCAGCAAATGCCTTGAACTGGTGTGTGGGGGCACCATCTACACTGCTGACATCTCAACAACACAACCTCCATCTGTTCAACTCATCAGATTTGTCTCCCTTCATCCTCCCCAGAATTCAATTCAAGTTAAAGGTCTTAATTGAGACACAGTTTAGGAGCTGCTTGACCTATATGCATAGCAAGACTTTTAGGGAGCGTTAAAAGTGTTGCTGGAGCTCTGGGAGCAGAGTATCACCGCGCAAGGAGACGACTTTAAAGCTAACCTGAGCCACCACGTAACTACTTTGGGTCTGAGTCCTGCCCTTCCGTTATCTGCATGCAGCCATTTTCAAATTCCCTTCGCTACAAGAAACAACATCCGAGCAGCCGCCTGCACGCCAGAAAGTTTTGTCGAAGATCTGGATGGTGTGGTAGAGCAGACCTGCTCACCTCCCTGCACGCAAGTATTCCACCAAAACAACTGCACTCATCGCTATCTTGCAGGGGCACCATAACTGCATCCTGGGCTGAGCTGATTGGTCCAAAGAAATACAAACATTAGCCAAATGATAATTGGGTGCAGTCAGACTCAGAGGATGGTGATCGAATTTAAATCCAGCATTTCTTTCCCCATTTTTACAGGAACAGTCTCAGAACTTGATCACATCTCATACATCACTCATGCTGAAGACAACAGCGGAGTCCTACCTCAGCCAACTTCATGAACTCTCCGATCTTCGTCACCCTGGTCAGGAACCTCTTGTAGATCTCCAGCGCCTCCTTACAATCGCTTTTCTTCATCTTGAAGAATTTCTCTGCACAAAAAACAAAACAACGGATCGATCTGTGCTCTTGATCTGTGAGAAGGAACAACCTGCCATCGCCGGACCGTTTGCTCACCTAATAGGTTGATGATTCCGTCGTTGTAGGATGCAAACAGTTTGACCAGGTCCTTGAAGAGAAGCAGAAACGCAGCGTTGATGATCCCGTTGTTCAGCTCCTTGGGATGAACCTGAGCGGAGACGACGCAGAGATAAGATCAGCTGACTGACGTTCAGATCGCTAAAATAAAAAAACCCAAGAAGAAGAAGGCGGCGACACGCACGTCAAACTCCAGCAGTGTGTCGATCTGAGTCTGCAGAACCGGCATTCCCTTCAGCAGCTTCTCGGTGGTCATGGTTCTCATCACTCCCTCGGCGCTGAAGCGACACGACGGAGAGAACGTTATGACCAGAGGTTAAAAAAAGGAAAGCAAATGACCTGTGAGAAGATTGTAACGAACCCTTTCTTCACTCTGGTGAAGTCAAAAGCCATCTGGCGGTAGGCGAAGGCTTTCTCGTTCAGGTACCGTCCGTACCGCCTGATGAACGTAGACATGTCGTAGCCTGAGACGGAAGAGAGGAAATGTGAGGAGGCGCTCGCATGGAAGCTTTTTGGAAAACAAAAACCTTTTATATTAATCTCAGTCGTCTCTTTCATACTTCCTGTCATGACGGATTAGATTTCCTCGTCCCACGATGTCGATGTTTTTTTTAAAGCTGCACCAAATTCTTGCAGCAAAAAGTATGTAGTATGAAAATAATCTGGTAGTAAGTTTAAAAAGAAATGTTTTGAATTTCTGCTTAAATTACAGAAGTATCAGCATCAAAATAAAGTACCAGAAGTAAAAGTATTCATCATTCTGAATGACATATTTCATAATATTTACCTCATTTATTTCATGCATTACTTCATTTTACATAAATTGTATTTTTAAAATGTTTTATTAAAAGATGTCTGCATGTGTAAATGCAGCAACAACCTGTAATACGGTCGAATAATATCATAATATAAACGATCAGGCCTGAATACAGCACAAACATGTCCGTATTAGTTCGGTATTATTGTGTAATTTTGCATAAAAAGGTGATTAAAAGTCAAACACTGCTGTAAAAGTGACAATTCAGCATCGGGAACAAGTGCAGTGTGAGTTTTAAGAATAATTTAACATTGAAATCTTTAAAATGTTTGACTTTAATGTTAAAACAAAACATGTTCACGTATAAAATTGGCAAATAATGATTATATTAAAATTAACAATAATAAACAGCTAATTTTGGATCATATCAGGAGTTTTGTATATTTTATGCCCTATTTTTAAAAAAATCTTATTTTACATTAGACATGTAAATTCTGTCTATTTTTTTGTAACTGTCTTCATATTTTTTGTGTATTTAAAGATTTGAATAACAAAATTACAAAATAAAATATTAAAATTTCATAAAAATTAAAGTTTTTTTCTGCTGTGCAGCCAAAACACATGCTTATATATCAGCTTCACCAAAACAACGATAAACGTCTAAAGATGCACAATAAAAAACACTAAATGATTGATTATTGATCTCAAAATGGGCTGTATTATATTTATACAGTGTTAGATATTATAAGTCTGATCCCCGGCCAGAGCTGTGCTTTGACCTGTTGTCACCTTTTTTAAATCTAACACGTGTTAAATAAAATATGCGTTTAATTACTGTGTGACATTCAGGCGTCTTGTAGGCGTCTAATCAGCAGAACATTTCATTTGTCATTATTAACATCTGCAGGACGTACATGTGGTTAATTACAAGTTCAGTAGAAGTCGGCGTGTGTTCTCACCGTGAGAGCCGGTTTTGTCAATAAAGTTGCTGAGGTTGAACAAGGAAGTCCTGGAAGCCAAATACTGAATGAACCTCTGAGGAAGAGACAGAAAACAACGTTGTAGACGTTAAACGACAACCTTTAATCTATTACACAGCAGTGTTTATAGACCTGATGCACACCCGGATACGTTTGTTGTAGGAGGTTAAAGCCTTTAATTATCTTCACGTTAACAAACTGGCCACAAACGATCGTTCAACACGTATCGATGGATAAAAGACGACTAGAATTAATCCTCTGAACCCCAAAATGCTGCCAGAGGCTTTTAAAAGCACGTTATCTTTAGAAAATCACCACAATGACAACATTAATCATTCAGAGACAGTAAAAACATAAAGAATAGTCGGGTTTTCATTGTTCCGACGGTCCTTGAATTACTCACCACCAACTGAAACTGAGTTTAAAACCACAATATTTAACCAAAATCACTTTATTCTAAACAATTTGCAAAATATCAACCATTCGTACTAAACAGATTTGGTAAAAAACAAAATATTTTGTGGCCTTTGACACAAGCGTGGAGCCACAACTGACTCGTCTGTGACCGACAGTCATGTGACAAAAATTTAGAGAGTTTCAGCTAAAAAGCAGCAGGATGGGTTTCCACTGAGCGGTGAGGAGTGAAGCGTGGAAACAAACCCAAACAGTAAAATGTAAATAATAATAACAATAAAAAGGCAAATAGTTAAATACCTATAGCATGTAGAGTATTACTGAATAATAAAACTAAAGAAGAAATACAAAATAAATCCCTTAAAATTTAAATTAAAATTAAAAACAAAGCTCATAAAGGATCCAGTGAATCTTTTTGTGTATTTTTTAGTAATAATTCTGCTTAATCTCCATTAAATGAAATAACTGCAGGACCTCAGACCTAATATTTATATTTAGCAGGTTAAGTTCCATATTTAATAAAACCGTAGAGTCTCAGACACGTTACTATATTACTCTCCATTATTCTCCATGATTATTACCACAGCCAGGATTCAGCCTTAACGTCTATCACAGGCAGGTGAAGAAGTGTTTTATATAATTTCTGTACAGTTTTAATCCCAAAAATGTAAAATACTCATTTAAAACCACACAATAAATAACATTCTTGTCTCTGAAGCTCAGTATTCAAACTAGTTCGGTTCATTTTTGGTGAACGTGTTGATTCCAGATGTTTTCAATTTATGTAAAATTTTTTAAAATAATAAAAATACGTCTTGTTTTATGATTTATGTCCGAGTTCTGTAGTCACGGTTCTGCTGTTTCCAGTGGGGTGTATTTTTATGGTTTTGCATATTTTGATTATTTAAACTGGACTAATCACACTATTATCTGATATTTGTTTTATATTCTGTTACTTTACTACTTCAGCAAAACTGCCAGCATTACTTTTTTCTATTTGACTCTAATTTAAACAGTTTATTTCTATATTCTTTTTCTTATTATTTGTATGAAACTCTGCATTTAACGTGTTACATAAACAGTTTTCTGCGCAAAATCTTATTTTATCCTAAACGCACTCCATCGTTGTCTTAAATTGACTTTTGTCTGGTTTTTAAATCACATAAAGTCGTTGATGCCGTGTTTGTTTAAACCCAAACAGGCTGATATTTAAAAAGAAATCGATCTGTTTGTGCCAAACGGGACCAGATTCTGGCCGTGAGCCCGGCAGCAGGTCAGCGTGATGTTCTGTTATGAATCCAAAGTATCAGCAGAAGTAATGAGCTCTACGTGATGTTTACTCTCGGATCAGACGCGTCCGTTTTTCTGCAGATTTCTCGGCTTTTACACCTTTATTTTTTATTCCAAACAAAAGTCTTGCGTGCAGTAAAGTCTTTACGTTGCTGTGAAAAAGAAGCTATGCGATTGGCTCACCTCGTTGCCGTGGACACACATGTGATGGGTGGTGACGAGGGCCTTGAAGACGACCACCCAGCTGGCGTTGGTGGCCCGCTCGAACAGCGTGTCGGCCATCTGAGGGATGTTCACGTTGGTGGTGTTGGTGGCCGACACCAGATCTGCAGATGAACACAGAGTTGGTTTAGAATCAGGCGTCGCTGCTGCAGGTGTGACGGTGTTGATGGGCCTCATGGTGGTGAACAGCTGGAGTTTAACCCTCTGGACCCACTAATAGACATGTTGTCTTTAAAAAATCATTAAAGTTACACTATTATCAGCCAGAAACTGGGAAAACAACAAGAATGATCAGATTTCCTATTTTCTAACGGTCCTTGAACTGCTCGTCTTTAAGCAAATCTGAGCTTAAATCGAGATTTTTNACTGGGAAAACAACAAGAATGATCAGATTTCCTATTTTCTAACGGTCCTTGAACTGCTCGTCTTTAAGCAAATCTGAGCTTAAATCGAGATTTTTTATCAAAATAATTTCATTCTTCTTGACTCGATTAAAAAAATTTTCAAAAATAAACCGTTCATACTAACTAGACTCTGTAAAAAACAGAAAATTCTGCCATCGTCAACACAACCATGAAGCCATGACTGACTCAGCTGTGACCAACAGTGAAGTCATAAGAATTCAGAGAGTTTTCAGGTTGAACTGCAGGCAGTGTTTACACAGAGAAGAGGGGAGACGAGTATGTAACAGGAAAATGTGGAGAAAAAAAGGATGGTTTCCGTAAAAAACTTAAAAATTAGACCATTTTCCAGCCAGAAAATGAAAAAAAAAAAAGAAGAAAGAAATAGTAGATTTAAACACCCAACAGTCCTTGAACTACTCATCTTTAACCAAATCTGAGCTAAAAATCAAGATTTGCCATCAAAATAACTTGACTCGTTTAAAAATGTGTTAAAAAATAAACCGTTCATACTAACTAGATTCTGTAAAAAACAAAAAATTCTGCCGCCCTTTACACAACCGTGAAGCCATGACTGACTGAGCTGTGACCAAGAGTGGAGTCATAAAAATTCAGAGAGTTTTCAGGTTGAACTGCAGGCAGTGTTTACGCAGAGCAGAGGGGAGACGAGTATGTAACAGGAAAATGTGAAAAGAAAAAGCTGTTTTCTAAAATTAGACCATTTATCAGCCAGAAACTGAAAGTAGATTTTAAACATTCCAACGGTCTCTGAACTACTCATCATTAACCAAATTTAAGGTTAAAATCAAGATATTTCATCTAAATCACTTTAGTCTGCATGTGTCACTGAAAACATCTCAAAAATAAACGATTTGTAAAAACCAGACTCTGTAATAAATAATAATACTAATACTACTCCTAATAATATTAATGATAATAAAAGCTGAATGTATATCTGTAGCATGTTCTAAGAAATCAGAACTAAGCTCGCTCTTAGAGGATCTTTGGATCTGTTGAGCTTCATGTACGTTTTTGTGGCGTAAAAACTTAAAATTAGTCATTAATCTTCATAATTGATCAAGCTGCTGTAAAGTTTATATTAGTTCAGTAAAGTTCTGTAATTGGCAGCAGGTCAGANCAGAGGAAGAAGAATGCTTCGTCATCTCCTCTCCTGGTTTTCAGACAAAGACGTCTCCAGAAGGCTGCAGCATCACCGCAGGAGCATAAAAACAAGGTGAGCAGCAGCAGCAGCAGCAGCGTCCAGTAACGTCAAAGACGATAAAATAAAATCTGTTGAAGCTGAAAACGTGGCTTCAAGGGTGTCAGAAAACAATCATGTTTAAAAGATTAATTCAGATTCATTTTTATACAGATTTTGTGCCATTTTGGACTTATTTTGTGTAATTTTGAACCTTTTAGGGATAATTTTTAACTCTCTTTGAGTCACTTTGACCAAACCTTGAACTGAGAACAGCCATAAAATTTAACTAATTAAAAAGAAAGAAATAAATTACAACAGTTGAAAATTTTTGACCTAAACACACTGTGCAAAAATACATTAAAATTATAGTACTTTGACAAATATTTTCTTTTTGTTTCTAGTAGATGAAAGTGTTAAAGTCAAACTGAACACTGTAAATTTATATATAAAATGTTTAACAATGTTTAATGTTTTTAATGTTTAATTTTTTTAAAAGAAAAAACCTTACAATAAATAAAAAATAATAATTAAAAACTAAAACTTTCTTTAAACAAATACACATACAGTCTAATGTAAAGTTAAAGCTGTAAAATATATTTTAAATATGGAAAAATCATGTTTTGTTTTTTAAAAAATGTACAGATTTTTTTTAAAAATACACAAAAGTGCAGTTTACAAGTTAAATGTAAATGAACAGTAAAAGCTTTTAACTGTGAATAAGCAGAAATTTTCCATTTTAAAAAATTAGCATTTTTTGATATATTATATTCATATTTTGAATATACAGAAAAAAATCTGGATTTTCTTTTTATCTAATACATGAAAGTGTAGAAGTCACAGTTATAATATCTTTTTGTTAAAATAGCCTTATAGTAAATAAAATAAACTGAAATATTAAACAACCAAATACACTCACATAATCTCATAATGTGACATAATTTGTGTAATTTTTATCAGTTTTTAAAGTTATTTTGGATCCTTTTTGAAGCGTCTAAAGTCACTAACATCTGATGTGTGACACATCTGAACAGACAAAGCTCCAGTTTTACATAAGTTGATGTTTTAAATGCCAAAATGAGCCCATCTGGACTATTTTGAGTCATTTTTAGCTAATTTTGTCTCATTTTGAACAAGTTTCAGGTTATTTTGGGGTTACTTTGGACAAATTTGACTCATTTTGGACAAAATCAATTCAAATGACAAACACATTTTTAATTTCTGGCCCTTGATAAACTTCTAGGAACACAAAACGTGACGCCTATAGAGGCACATGTATGGC